CCCCTTGTTTCACCTAAACACTTGAGCACCTTTTTTTGCTGATGAACACGTTGTTTACGTGCCCCCACTGTTTTGTTTGAAACAAAACTTTTCCCCAAAGTGTTCCATCACAAATACCCCTTTTGGGAAATACGTTTAGGGATGAAAAGTTTGTTTACTGGGCTTTCTGTATTTACAAACCCTTTATAAAAAGCCTATAAGGATTTCCCCTTATGTGGTTTTTTGTGGGGGTAGGTAACTCTTTTTTTAAAAGAGTTTGAAAGGGGTTTTTTATCCCCGGTTTTGTGGATTTTTTTACCTTTTCTCGTTGCTTGCATGGGATGAAAACTATTTGTTTGTAAACCCCCCGCTAATTTCCTCCAAATGAAAATTTTGGGTTTTTTGAACATAATTTTTTAATCGTTCAATAGTTTGTGGTGACAACTTATCTTGTACAATACCACTGATAAACCAATCACATTGTCTTAGGTCATATTTAGCACCTAGAGATCTGAGACTATTGTCTAATGTGATTCTAAATGTCTGTAAGTCTGAAAAACAATGTTTGGGTGGCTTAAAGCTTGATATTAAGACTGCATGTCTAACTCTGGCCTTGTCAACATCAAAGTAATTGTCTGCTAAGACACGTAAGGCTATTTGATAATTGTCTTTAATCACCGGAAATGACTTAATCAGTTCATAGGGTTCTCCCTTCACAAGACATTTAAGATAATTGAACTTAGCAATCTCATCTATGTCAGTTCGTGAATTTACTATGGATTGAAAACCACTAATGAATTCATTATCATTATGACCTTGGAAAATAGGTAATGACAATGTAGGTAAGCTTGGTAATGGGACACTTGTTGTTACAGGTGTAACAGGTGTTTGACCACTAGTTACAGTAGGTCTCTGTGACAGAGTTTTGCGGCAGATAGCCTGTACTCCTGTCCACCTTAATTGTTGATTACTAAAAGTATCCAAAACATTTTTAATTTCATCCTCAGATGGATCTGATTCAAGAAAATTCTTTTCATAATGTGTATAGTCTGAATTAATTATTTTCAGATTGAGTCTGGAGGGACTCATTTATACTGATTTAGAATGTAAAACACTAGTTTTACAGTTTTTTTCGAAGGACCTTGGCTCGTAGGTTATTTGTACACTGTAGTACAACATATTTGGACCACAGTGTGGCCTTTATCCGGTTCGAGCACGACCAATATGTTGAGAAATGGGTTTACCAGTTAAGCTTAAAGAGTTTGTAACTTAACTTAGAAAGACAACTCATCGCCTGCACAGGCGCCCCTGCAGACGAGGTCTTGAGAAGCTGTCGAAGTCATCTCTCAACGGTCTGTAAAGAGTTATAATTTGTAAGTTTATAAATTACCCCTAGGGGGTGTTATGTCAGCATATTTCATTCACTGATTGCTGACAAATTATATACTTGTTTGGACTCAAAAGTCCGCACCTTACTGCCGACTATAGGTTGATTACAAACTCCTTGCGACTCAAGAACTGCGCAGTCCCCCATACTACAAGAAATTCGTAACCTACCTTGCTCTTGTAGCGTGAGCTATGGTGTTCTTTACACCTTCGACAGGTATCGGTGACTTGATAGAAGCTGAAGTGTCCTTGGATGCCCACGTCTTCCATAGTCTAGGAAAACGCACACTGGTACACTATGTTCCACAAGATTTGTCTTTATTGTTCACAATCTTATCACTAAAGAAGCTGATCACACTTCTCTTAAGTGTTTATTGTGTTTTATGAGACACTTTCTTCACACTAACGCTCAGATCGCTCTTTGTTGGTTATCCTGGCGTCAGTGTCACTCTCAGTAGCGTCAAAAGTAATCTGAAGACGCCACAGCACCCCACACCATTACTCCCTAGCACAAAAAAAAAGCTGACATAGTACTTTTGCTTCCTTGCCATTTCCTCGATGAAGCAAAGCAGAATGTTTGATTCTTGCTGTCTTAAGCATAGACAACAATGTCCACTATTTCTACCATGGTAATAAAGTGGGAGCAGGATTTACCTTAATTGTCCTGCTAAAGTAAGAGATGTACTGTCTCTTATTAAAATACACTCTGCAACACTGGACTGCAAGGAGCAGCGGTCACTTGACCACGTCGCATACTCGTACGGCATCTTTGATCAATGACTCACTGTAGCAGTAAACAAGACGCTTGCCCCTTCTGAGAGGGCTGGGCCCCTCAGAGCTGAAAGGGGCTGAAGGGGCTGAAGGGGGCTGATAATCCCCTCCTGGTGAAAATTTCTCCACAAAACCCTTGATAAGACACACACCAAACTCAGGACATAACCACCTTGCTAAGACACACAGCACACTCAGAAGACAAGCTTGTCAAGACACGCACTACACTCAGAACATAACAACCTTGCCAAAACAGGCTGCACACTCAGAACATAAATATGTTAAAAGACACACACTACATTCAGAACATGATAACGTTGCCAAGACACGCACCACGCTCAGAACATGAGAACCTTGCCAAGATAGAAACCACACTCAGACCATAACCTTGCCAAGACACGCACTACACCCAGAACAAGACAACCTTGCCAAGATACGCACCACACTCAGAACATAAAAACCTTGTCAAAACACTCTCCAAACTCTGAACATAACATCCTCGGGAAGACATGCACCACACTCAGGACATGACATCCTTGCCAAGACACGCACCCCACTCAGGACATGACAACCTTGCCAAGAGCGCACCATACTCAGAACATGAGAACATTTCCAAGACACGCACTGCACTCAGAACATGAGAACTTTGCCAAGGCATGCACTACACTCAGAACTTTACAACCTTGCCAAAACGCGCACCATACTCAGAACATGAGAACCTTACCAAGACACGCACTACTCTCAGAGCATGACAACCTTGCCAAAACACGCACCACATTCAGAATGTAACATCCTTCCCAGGCTGCCTCTAAGATTCAACAGGTTCTAGGCTGCCACTAAGAATGAACAGATACTAGAATGTCATTGAGACTCAATTGGTATTAGCCTGCCACTAAGATTCAACAGGTACTAGACTGCCACTGAGATTCAATAGGTACCATACTACCACTGAGATTCAATAGGTACTAGACTGCCACTAAGATTCTATAGGAACTAGACTTCGACTGAGATTCAACATATAGTAGACTGCCACTAAGATTCAACAGGTACTAGGCTGCCACTAAGATTAAATAGGTACTAGACTTCAAGGAAGATTCAATAAGTATTAGACTGCCACTAAGATTCAATAGGTACTAGACTGCCACTGAGATTCAGTATGTGGTAGACTGCCACTAAGATTAAATAGGTACTAGACTTCAAGTAAGATTCAATTGGTACTAGACGGCCACTAAGATTCAATATGTACTAGACTGCCACTAAGATTCAATAGGTACTAGACTGTCACTAAGATTCAATAGGTACTAGACTGCCACGAAGACTGAATAGGTACTAGACTTCCAGTTAGATTCATTAGGTACTAGACGGCCACTAAGATTCAACATTTACTAGACTGCCACTAAGATTCAATAGGTACTAGACTGCCACTAAGATTCAATAAGTACTAGGTTGTCACTAAGATTCAACAGGTACTAGACTGCCACTAAGATTCAATAGGTACTAGACTGTCACTAAGATTCAATATGTACTAGACTTCTACTAAGATTAAATAGGAACTAGACTGCCACTGAGATTCAATAGGTACTAGACTGCCACTGAGGTTCAATAGGTGCTAGACTGCCACTAAGATTCAGTAGGTACTAGACTGCTATTAAGATTCATTAGGTACTAGACTGCTACTAAGATTCAATAGGTACTAGACTGCCACTAAGATTCATTAGGTACTACACTGCCAATAAGATTCAATAGGTACTAGACTGCCACTGAGATTCAATAGTACTAGACTTCCACTAAGATTCAATATGTACTAGACTTCTACTAAGATTAAATAGGAACTAGACTGCCACTAAAATTCAATAGGTATTAGACTGCTACTAATAATTAATAGTTACTAGACTGCTACTAATATACAATAGGTACTAGACTGCCACTAGGATTTAATAGGTACTAAACTGCCATCAAAATTCAATAGGTACTAGACTGCAACTAAGATTCAATTGGTACTAGGCTGCCACTAAGATTCAATAGGTACTAGACTGTTACTAGTATTCACTAGGTACTAGACTGTCACTAAGATTCAATAGGTACTAGACTGTCGCTAAGATTCAATAGGTACTAGACTGCCACTTAGATTCAATAGGTACTAGACTGACTCTAAGATGAATCAGCCATTAAATACTGAAGACGTTCAGAAGAGGTAAACAGAAATTTATTTATAAACACCTGATATAACCGGAATAAAAATTCCCTGTGTTGTATAGGGAAAAATGGGGAAACATGAACCAATGTCTGAACACTGGAAGCTTCGTCACTGAGGGATTTTGTAAGTTACGACAGCAATTCCAGGATGTTTGGAATGACGTCAACAATTATGGTTATAGTGCACTTTCACACTCCAGTTGTTCCAGGAACTTGGTCGTTGTTTCCATGCAGAAGAGTTGAAAAAAAATAATCACATAGGGTAAAGGTTATAGTGAAATACAATAAAAAAGTTGAAGATTTAAAAAAATATTTGAGTGAAGTACCTGAAGGTTTCCAATCAAGAATACTTAATAAAGCAGGTATTATTTTTTTTTGTTCATTGTCTGTGAATTTTCTTGGAATTTTAGTTTCTGGTAATTTTAGTTCATGGATCATTATGTAAAGTGAGCAGGTAAAATGATGAATGGAAAATACAGAATAATTTTACAAATCTAACCACACTTACAGGAGGAGATAGAAATTTATGACGACGTTTCAGTCATACATGGATCATTAATAAATCACATAGAATAATTTTAGATTTGAATGTAGTGAATATTTTTATTTTACATAATTGACAATACTAGTGAGTCATATTTAAGATAATGCTTATATATTTTTTGCAGGTTCTGTAATCTGGACAATATTCGAAGGTCCTGCTGGGATGGTTCTAGGTCTCTTTTGTGGCATTGTCTTCGCAATATTGTGTTGGTTCTTACCTTATAAAGACAAGACAAATCGATCAACATACAAGTTTATTATCATCTTCAGTCTGAGCGCTCTGGCCATTTTTGGCAGTCGTAGGGTACGTAATGATTTCTTTCATATCTTTTAATGTACATTACTGGGTATCGTTGACTTTTGCCATGATATACTGAAGCTCATAACATATTTATTAAAATAACGAAACTGTAAAGTTTGTTCACATGTAAGTAATAATTGAACAAAATATATGTGAATTTAATACATTTCTTTAACTTCTGTAGAGAGCAGAATAACTGATAAAAAATTATTCTTTACTAATGATTCTTTAATTAAAATATACTAGTAAACTGAGGCTGCAGAATATGATAAATGTAAATTTGTAATAAGAACATAAGAAAGAAGGAACACTGCAGCAGGCCTACTGACCCAAGCGGAGCAGGTCCATGTCTTTCCCCCCCGGATTAGCCCAATGACCTCCTCCGGATTAGCCCAATGACCCACCCAGTCTGGTCACCTCCACTCAAGGAAGGAGCACGGCACCAAACCCAGCAGCACAAGCTAGTCAGGTCTAACTCACACCCACCCACACCCACTCATATATTTATCTAACCTATTTTTAAAACTACACAACGTTTTAGCCTGAATAACTGTACTCGGGAGCTTGTTCCATTCATCCACGACTCTATTACCAAACCAGTGCTTTCCTATATCCTTCCTGAATCTGAATTTTTCCAACTTGAAACCATTGCTACGAGTCCTGTGTTGGCTGGAAATTTTCAGCACGCTATTTACATCCCCTTTATTTATTCCTGTTTTCCATTTATACACCTCGATCATATCCCCCCTAATTCTACGCCTTTCGAGAGAGTGCAGATTCAAGGCCCTCAGTCTATCCTCATAACGAAGATTTCTGATACATGGGATCATCCTTGTCATCCTCCTCTGTACATTTTTGAGAGCATTTATATCCATTCTGTAATACGGTAACCAGAACTGAGCAGCATAGTGTAAATGAGGCCTAACCAAGGATATACAGAGTTGAATAATAACCTGAGGACTTCTATTATTTATACTTCTAGATATGAAGCTAAGAATTCTGTTAGCTTCATTGCCAACAATAATGCCGTTGGTTTTACAATACTGTTAACCAGAACTCCTAAATCCTTTTCGCAATCAGTAGTATTAAGATCTACATTATTTAGTTTATATGTGGCATGGTTATTTTCCTGTCCAACATTTAGAACTTTGCATTTGTCTATACAGTGGACCCCCGGTTCGCGATGCTATCGGTATCCGATAAATCCGGTAACCGATGCATTATATCGCAGAAAATTTGCCTCGCTTCCCGATACAAAATCCGGTATGCGATGTGGTTCGTACGAGACGTGTCCATGTGTGGCCTGAACTGCCCCGTGTGTGCCAGTTTTTACAAGCCAGCCAGTTAGTTAGTTAGTTACCATTTTGTCCTAGGCACATGTCGATTAGACACTAGGCCTGCTGTATATGCGTCTGTATGTGTGTGTGTGTGTGTGTGTGTGTGTTAGTTACCATTTTGTCCTAGGCACATGTCGTGTGTGTGTGTGTGTGTGTGTGTGTGTGTGTGTGTGTGTGTGTGTGTGTGTGTGTGTGTGTGTGTGTGTGTACTCACCTATTTGTGGTTGCAGGGGTCGAGTCTTAGCTCCTGGCCCCGCCTCTTCACCGGTTGCTACTGGGCCCTCTCTCTCCCCACTCCATGAGCTTTATCAAACCTCGTCTTAAAACTGTGTATGGTTCCTGCTTCCACTACGTCATTTTCTAGGCTATTCCACTGCCTTACAACTCTATGACTGAAGAAATACTTCCTAATATCTCTCTGACTCATTTGTGTCTTCAACTTCCAATTGTGGCCTCTTGTTTCTGTGTCCCCTCCCTGGAACATCCTGTCTTGTCCACCTTGTCTATTCCACGCAGTATTTTATATGTCGTTATCATGTCTCCCTGACCCTCCTGTCCTCCAGTGTCGTCAGGGCCGATTTCCCTTAATCTTTCTTCATAGGACATTCCCCTTAGCTCTGGAACTAACCTTGTCGCAAACCTTCGTACTTTCTCTAGTTTCTTGACGTGCTTTATCAAGTGCGGGTTCCAAACAGGTGCTGCATACTCCAGTATGGGCCTGACATACACGGTGTACAGTGTCTTGAACGATTCCTTACTAAGGTATCGGAATGCTGTTCTCAGGTTTGCCAGGCGCCCATATGCTGCAGCAGTTATCTGGTTTGATGTGTGCTTCCGGAGACATGCTCGGTGTTATACTCACCCCAAGATCTTTCTCCTTGAGTGAGGTTTGCAGTCTTTGGCCACATAGCCTATACTCGGTCTGTGGTCTTCTGTGCCCTTCCCCTATCTTCATGACTTTGCATTTGGCAGGATTAAATTCGAGAAGCCATTTGCTGGACCAGGTGTCCAATCTGTCCAGGTCTCTTTGAAGTCCTGCCTGGTCCTCGTCAGATTTAATTCTCCTCATTAACTTCACATCATCTGCAAACAGGGACACTTCTGAGTCTAACCCTTCCATCATGTCGTTCACATATACCAAAAATAGCACTGGTCCTAGGACCGACCCCTGTGGGACCCCGCTCGTCACAGGTGCCCACTGTGATACATCATTACGTACCATGACTCGTTGTTGTCTCCCTGTCAGGTATTCTCTGATCCATTGCAGTACCCTTCCTGTTATATGTGCCTGATGCTCTAGCTTCTGCACTAATCTCTTGTGAGGAACTGTGTCAAAGGCCTTCTTGCAGTCCAAGAAGATGCAATCAACCCACCCCTCTCTCTCGTGTCTTACTTCTGTTATTTTATCATAAAACTCCAGAAGGTTTGTGACACAGGATTTGCCTTCCATGAATCCGTGCTGGTTGGCATTTATACTCTTGTTCCATTCCAGGTGCTCCACCACTCTCCTCCTGATAATCTTCTCCATAATTTTGCATACTATACACGTCAATGACACAGGTCTATAGTTTAGTGCCTCTTTTCTGTCTCCTTTTTTAAAAATGGGAACTACATTTGCCGTCTTCCATACCTCAGGTAGTTGCCCAGTTTCCAGGGACGTGTTGAAGATTGTGGTAAGTGGCACGCACAACATATCTGCTCCTCCTCAAGGACCCACGGGGAGATGTTGTCCGGTCCCATTGCCTTTGAGGTATCGATGTCCCTTAGCAGTTTCTTCACCTCCTCCTCATCTGTATGTATGTCGTCCAACACTTGTTTGTGTATTCCTTGCTGGTGTCCCCATCTGGTCTGTCCCCCCAGAGTCCTTCCTGACTCTACTGTAAATACTCTTAAATCTCGTGTTGAGCTCCTCACATACCTCTTGATCGTTTCTTGTGAGTTCTCCACCTTCTTTCCTCAGCCTTATCACCTGGTCCTTGACTGTTGTCTTCCTCCTAATGTGGCTATACAGCAGTTTCGGGTCAGATTTGACTTTCGATGCTATGTCCGTTTCATACTGTCCGCTGGCCTCCCTCCTTATCTGTGCATTATCGTTTCTGGCTCTTCTACTAATCTCTTGTTTTCCTGGGTCCTATGCCTCCTGTACCTTTCCATTCTCTGTTGCACTTAGTTTTTGCCTCCCTACGCCTTCGGGTAAACCAAGACTCGTTTTGGTCTTCCTATTATTTCGTTTCCTTGGGAACAAAACTTTCCTCTACCTCCTGCACTTTGTTGCCACATATTCCATCATCTCGTTTACTGATTTCCTACCATTTCTCTGTCCCACTGAACCTCCTGCAGGAATGTTTCTCATACCTGTGTAGTCCCCCCTTTTATAGTTTGGCCTGACCCCTTCAGTTCCTGTTACCTTCTCCACTTGTAACCTCTACTATATAATCAAAACTCAGCACCACATGATCGCTAGCTCCAAGGGGCCTCTCGTAAGTGATGTCCTCAATGTCTGAACTGCTCAGGGTGAACACAAGATCCAGTTCTTGCTGGCTCATCTCCTCCCCTCTCTCTCTGGTGGTGTCCCTGACATGTTGATGCATGAGGTTTTCAGTACCACATCCATCATCTTGGCTCTCCATGTTTCGGGACCCCCATGTGGCTCCAGGTTTTCCCAGTCGATCTCCTGTGGTTGAAATCGCCCAATTACCATAACTTATGTTCTGCCTCGAGTGAGCTCTTCTTGCCACCTCAGCCAGTGTGTCCACCATCACCCTGTTGTTTTCTTCGTACTCCTCTCTTGGCCTCCTGCAGTTCTGTGGTGGGTTATACATCACTCCAATGACTACTTTATGTTCTCCGGACTGAATTGTACCTACAATGTAGTCTCTTCTCCAATCATGTCCATGCCTTCCATTTCCTCAACTCCCCATCGGTGTTTTATGAGCAGTGCAACCCTTCCTCCCCCTCTACTCCTTCTATCTTTCCTCAGGATCTGATTGTGTTTCTTATTGTCTCAGCGAGTTTTGTTTCTGTGACTGCTATGATGTCTGGGGATTTTTCACTGATTCTTTCGTTCCACTCCTCATGTTTATTCGTTATTCCATCCGCGTTTGTGTACCAAACTTTGTTTCTTTTCTATCATTGTGGTCATGCAAGAATATTGGGGTTGGGGGAGCGAGAGCCTTGGTGGGGGCCTATATGGGGCTGTGGTGTAGGTGGGGTTTGTGATGATGGGGGTGGGGTCAGAATGCCCATAAGGGACAACTGTTGGGGTGAGGTTTGTGATATGGGGGTTGGTGGCAGAGGGAACAGTGAGTGGGTTGTAGTATAGGTTGCTCAGTTGCGTTGGGAATGTCGTTGGTAGGGAGTCTTTTGGTGGGAGATTAGTGGGGTGTGTTGCCCTTCTCCTGTGTCTGGGTCCTTGCTCATCTTCGTCATTGCCTCTCGTTCCTCCTTGCGTCTCTGTACCCTCTCTTTCAGTGTAGTCCTTTCGTCTTGTGTTCTGTCGCGGTCGAGGTATACTCTCCGGTACCCCTGTTTGTGTGTGTGTGTGTGTGTGTGTGTGTGTGTGTGTGTGTGTGTGTGTGTGGTGTGTGTTGTGTGTGTAGTTGTGTGAGTGAGTGTGTGTAGTGTGTGTGGTGTGTGTGTGTGTGTTGTATTGTGTTGTGTGTGTGT